GTTTTGGAAGTTGGTCCCTTTCTGGGCCCCTTGAAAGTCTACGACCCGGAGGGGGCTCACATCAAAAACAGCTACCCCGATCCCGTTCTCGGCAGTACAAGCTCGTTAGCTGCTCTGACCCGTAGTTCCGGAACCCGCGCGACCCACATCACTCTCTTCCGGTGTTTGCGAGGGTGGAGGAAGAGGGCGAGAGGGCGAGAGAGGGAGACAGAGAGAGACGAAGTAGCGAGAGAGAGAGAGAGAGAGAAGAGAGAATGCCCTATCCATAGTTGGCCTTGCCCAATGCATGGTGCATTACAAAGTGCGAACGGCACGTCATTCCGCGGGAATTCCAAAATTCTGGCCGTTCGTTTTCCACTTTTTACACTTGACAAAGTGCGCACAGCCTTTGACGCCATTCGGAATTCTTCATAGAATTTTTTTGGCCATTTGTGGCTAATCTGGACCGATTTTGCAGCCAGTGTGCTGTTTTTAAAAGGATGGCGAGGGAAAACGCGCATTAAGGGAGGCCAAAACGAGGCGAAAATATTGAAAAATATCATTAAAGGGCCGGAGAAGGCAAGACCTTATGGATTTCAGATGTCCTGTAAAAACAGTAATTTTCGCCTCCCAATCCCTTTGTAACGCCCCTACCTCGATTCCGGTTCCGATTCCGGTTTTGGCTTTCTTTCGAGGCTTTTCCCCAGGTTGTCTACCCATTTTGGGGATCAAAATCCGCGTTTCCCTTCCTGGTGTGTCCCCGTGTTTTTCCTGGATCTTAGGTTTTTAGGGGCCTTGTGTTTGGAGGTGTCTAACGGAAATGTCGACAGATCGGTCGGTAGGAGGAAAGAGAGAGAGAGAGAGAAGAGAGAGAGAGAGAGACCGACAGACAAACCACCACATCGACACCCATAGGAAGTTTGCTTCAAAAACCCTCCTTCCCCGCCTTGGAATCGACGTCAACTGGAGAAGACGTGTGGCCACTACCAACACTTCACTTCACTGCCCCTCCCACGCAATATATAGCCTTAATTTCGGGCGAGCAAGAGCTGGTGTTGCTGCCCTAGAAGAGGGACTCCTTTTGAGAAACTTGCACACCTGTCAATTGCAAAATTTGGGGAGGAACCGCTTACGCAAGTGGCTGCAACGTTTTTTGGGTAAAGCAAATATTTTTACTGGGGTCTAGACGCTGGCTACGAAACTTTCCAATTGACGTCCAGGGGTGTGGAGCGGAACTCTGATCCGGAACACTCCAACATACGGGGCTAGAGGTCGAGGTTATCTAGTAAAATCGGGACATTTTGGCACATGCCAGAACGGCTACAGTACTCGGCCAGATCTCAAAATACAGAATTTCCGTTGTGCAACAAAATACAGCTGGAGACTCTGTAGAAAAATCGTTTAAAGGCACGATGAAGTGACAAATCCATAACCAGATTTTGGCTTGCCAGCCCTTAAAAAATTTATATGGATTTCGGCGAGACTTGGAATGCGGGATATTCGCTTCTAAGCTCCTTTAAAAAGCCATGACAGCCCAATTTAAACGTTTTTACATGCTAATTTTTTACATTCTTCGTCTTTTTCGTTCCTCCCCCCCGCCCGAAAAATGACGATGCCACCGATGATCAAAATTCCCAATTTCACCACCACCCTCAAGCCGACTCGCCGATGCCGCGTAATTAGTTGTGGGTCGTCCTCGAGGGTGTCGACGATTTTGACATGTGTGCGTAAAGAGGAACAACCCGGAATCGCCGGCGAATTATTTTGGGCCAGGAACCCCTGGGCGCTAAAAGGGGGCCCACAACCTGTCATTGGCAGCTTCCTCTTTTCCGGAAGTTCATCAGAATATATGGGGAGACAGACACACCAACATGATGAATCAGACAAACCGAGTGGCTGTCAAAATTTGACCTTTATAGGGAAATTACGAGGTGGTGATGGGTAGTGAAAAGGGTAAAATTTCCGTGGATTTTTATTTTTTAGTTTTTTTGCTTTTGCTTTTTGATAATTTTAGCGCGCCGCATTGCAACGCGCAGGCTGGCATTTCGATGGCTAAATGCCGCCAAAACGATGCTGGCGTTGCGCGTAATGTTACGTCTTTCTCAGCGGGAAATCCATTCAAAGTGACCATCTTCCTTTTTTTAGGAAATGCTAGTCCCAAAAAGTCTGGAAGATGTCGAAACTCTCTGCCTTGTTTCTTTAAAATTCGCTATCGTTAAATTTAAGGATTAGTGAGATTTTCCTTTTCTTCCCTGTCAAAAAAGGCTGGGAATCCGGCACCAGACTAACAACATTTCAAAATCTCCCCCTCTCTCTCTTTCCCGTCGGAATTTTTGGGCCTCCGCTTCCTGATTCGGGTGATGCTTATCAAATATTTGATGTGGTGGGCAAGAGACACAGAGAGAGAGGGGAGAGAGAGAGAGAGAGAGAGAGGGAGGAGGGAGAGAGAGCCATACCTGAAATATCCCTCGAAATTCCGGGGGAATCCTCTTTTCACACCTCTACACCAGCTGACTGGGGCGACGCGGAATTGCTAACTAGGGGAAAAGCACCCGGATGCGGCATATCATTGCGTGACCCGGGTTGTTTAAAGGTTTCTTGCGGAATTTTTGAGTTTTTGAAGGGCAGGGAAACAATTTTTAGGGCAAAAATATCAATTTCAAAACGCCCGGATTTTTCAGTTTGGAAAATACCTAAAAATTCGAAAATTCCGTTTTCCCGATTCTCCGATTTTTTACTTTTGCGCCCACATGAAGTATTTCCCATGCGCATTAACGTGACATTAGCCATTTTGGGCAGAAATCCATAGAAATAGCCTACGGGGGCATTTGACACTTCCGGATTCGGGCGGCTATAAGAGCCATAAGGCACCCGATTTACATCCGGAACTTCGGGGGGAGAAGCTGAGAGAAGACGGGGAAAGGCCAGCCAGAGGAAACAACAACATACGAAGTAGATATCGAATTTGGGCTTCGTATTCTCAAAGAACCGCTGCTAGCTTATCGGAAAATGGCAATGTGTCTTTGCTAGTTCGACCTGGGATTCCTGAATAGTCACTGCTAGCTTGCCTTCAGTGCCAAAGGATCTCCGCTAGCTTGTTCCGTGATCCTGAAGGGTTTCTGTTAGCTTGCCCTCAATTTTGAGATATTCTCCCAAGGAATCTTTGCTAGCTGGCCCTAGAAATCTAGCCATTTCCCCTAAAAATCTCTGCTAGCATGCCCAAGGTTCCTAAGAACTTTCTGCTAGCTTGCCTTGGAGTTCGGCCAACATTCTCTGCTAGCCTACCCCAGGGTTCCTAGGGAATCTCTGTTAGCTTCCCGTAGGAAAAGCTATTCCCCGCTAGTCCCCCCTTTCCTCCCCCGCCTACCCTTCCCTCCCCCGAAACTATTTCTATTCTGATGTGAATGGCCTTTTCCATTTCCCCTTCCCCTCCAAAAGGACACTTTTTAGGGAAGCCTCCCTCTAATGGATAGACACAACCATATCTCTCTTTGTTTCGCTAGGAATTGCACGGTCGACTAGCGGTCCATTCCTTCCCGATTCCAGCCCTCAAATTATTCCGCAAGTTTACTCATGACGTTCAGCTTCTCCCCCCCCCCCCCGCCGCGTTGCTTTTGGCCACTTTTGACCCCCGCATCCCCGGGCGGCGGGACCCCAAAAATCAGCGGTCTGGTTCTATGATTTGCCGCGGAATGATGCAGAATAGGGGAGGAGCAAGAGGTCTAAAAATGAAGATCGGAAATCGGGAGCAAAAGGGAGGATAAAAAATAGAGAACCTTAGTGCAGAGGCAGGACGAAGAGCGAAAATTGAGCATGAGGTAAGGAGCTCAGGAGCACGAGAAATGGTCGGATTGGCTTCCGGAATCTTGAACGGATCATGCTCTCGGAAAGGACTTCTAAGTATCGAGTTCGGGCTCCGAACGCTAACTGAAGCGATTAGTTGAGCTCGAGAAAAATTCGAAAAGCTCAGGAAGCTGGGATGCGGATCAGGATCCGGTGGGGTGTTTTCCGGAACCGGAATCGAAATTTTCGAGACGGTAAGGGGTCAGGCTCCGGAGCAAGGAGTTAGGAGTCTAGGAGCAAGGAGTTTCCGCAAGGGGCTATTCGGAATCCTGTCAAAAAAGTTTCCGGAGGGATTTCGAAGATCCGGAAGCGTTTTTCGGTCGATGCGGATCGGGAATTTGACGCAGAATGGTGGCTTCACTTTTGTTCACGGTGGATTTACAAAATTTATGGAAATTTTGGTTTTACTTTTCCTTTAAATCAGCTTTTACTCTAAAAAATTTACAAAATTGCAGTCTAGGGCATCCTCCTATCCCCCCTACCGTACCCCCCTCCTCCCGGTTCACAAAAAGCACCCCATTTCTTTGATTTCCGCCCGGACGTAGCGTCGCGTAGCCTCCCTCAAATTCTGCGCGTGTGTGTGTGGTGTGATGGGAATTTTTAGGACGCCCACAAAATTGGCCCAACAAGAACCAAAAAAGCGGGGACAGGAATCGAGTCACTTCCGGGGGGACACGCCTTATTTGGCTAATTTCCGCATACGAGAGGCTACTATGGGAGAACGGACCAAGAGGAAGGGGGCACACCCAGAAGGGGATGTGTGCAAAATGGGAAATGGAATTTGTCTCGCCTGGGAACGGATAAATCTGGAGATGGTTGGGGGGTATTTTTGGCAAAATTTGTGGTTTAAAATACGCTCTACTTTATGGGGTACGGTAAGGTAAGGTTTAAGGTTTAAGGTATTGGCAATTTCGTGTCAGGTACGGTAGTGGAGACCTACGGCAAATTTGGTCTTTTAAAGCACAAATCTTCATTTAAAAAAATCCCAAAAAATATTTGACGCGTCTGGGTTACGGTAGCGAAGTTATTACGGTATTTTAATGTTTGCAGAAACGGGAAAATTCGCTATTAAAAGTATGAAAAATCCCGATTTTCTCAAGAATTTATGTAACGCTTAGGTTCATAAAATGATTAGGGTATTTTAAAAAGCAAAATCTTCTCGTATTTTCAATTTTTCATGCAAAATAAAACTCGTTGAACTGACCATCGTCGATGCAGAAACCGGCCACCGTATTCTCTTTCCGGTGCATTTCGCCGGTCAGTGATCGGGCCTGGAAAAAACAATTTGAAAGCGATTTCTACCGTATGTCTCGAATTAAAGGAACCATGAAGCGGAGAATCGCCCGATTCCACCGATTAGATCTCGACAAGAACTTGAAGAGCCAAACTAGGCAATTTTAGAAGAGCTAGAACGACGATTTCACGTTTATTTTAGCGCGTTACGTAGCTGTCGAAACCTAGCCGATGCTGCGGGGTCGATTTTTAGACTTTCTGATGCCTTTAAAGGACTAGCCAGGCTTTTCTATGTCTTTTGAAAGGGCCAGGCAACCCAAAAAACCGAACCCACCTTCAAATAGCATATGGAGTCCTCGTGATTCCACTCGAACGCTAAGCACGACGTGTCTGAACGGCACTCCAGGGCGCATCCCCTTAAACCGTAGCCTCATTAAAGGGATCTGGATGGAATGTAAGGGGCAGCCAGATCGAAATTTTACGTATTTTACGTCGAAACACACCGAAAATTACCTAGTTGATCGTCATTTTACGTTTTTTTGGCAATAAAAGGGCAAGAAAATCCGTTGGAACCGCTGGAAACAAGCGCGCAAATCGGTATTTTGTAGCTTTCAGGTGCAGCGAAATGGAATTGCAATTATTAAAACATGTTAAGATCATTTTCACGTGATTTTTCGACTAATTTAACTCCAAAAAAATAGGAAAATAGCTCAAAATCAGCTAGCAGCAAGCCTCAAATCCAGATTGCTGTATACACGCGGAATTTCACAAAAATTAAAGCCTTTTTTGCCGTAATTTTACGAAATTAGAATATAAAAGAAAACACTTAAAATCAGCTAAAACAAACCTCAAATCGGTATTCCGTATTCGCCTATATTCTGCCCCATCTATCGTCACGCCCTTTTCTGTGGTGAAACAGCGGGCTGCAAAAGTTCAGGGTTGCCGGTCCCTTTAAAGATGAAATTACCTCCACCCGCCCTTGCAGTCGATAGGAATGAGATGAAAAGGAGGAATTGGCAGAAACGATGGGATATGGAGGGGTAGAAGAGGAGCGAGGGCCGCGATTCTGATACGGGAGATACTGTGGGGAGACGATCGGAGGCCTGAAAATCCGGTTTTTCAAAGGGTTGATGCTAGTATGCCATTGGATAACAATTTTCCGCAAAGAAACACTGCTGGCCTGCCCCGTGCCGGTCGATTTTCCCAAAGGATAAGCGCTGGTTTGCCCTACTTAGCGTTTTTCCGCAAAGAAATCCTGCTAGCCTGCCACCAGACGATTTTATCAACGAAGCCTGCTAGCTCGCCATCACGACTTCCGTAAAATAGACTCTGCTAGTCTTCCTGTCGTGGTGTGTTTTCGCAAAGAAACTCTGCTAGTTGGCCATCCTAACCGTTTTTCCACAAGGAGACACCGCTAATCTTTCTTTCGTCAGATTTTCTCAAAGAAACTCTGCTAGCTTGCCCCTCTTGGCCGGCCCCAAGGTTCTTTGCTAGTTTGCCTAGGGATTTCCAAAAATTCCAAAATTTTTCCGCTGGCCGGCCAATCTATTCCCAAATGCTGGCTGCAAGCCGGTTCTCTATCCATTTCCCCAAGAATCCCGGCTAGCTCACCTCATCATCAATCTGTTGTTGTTGTTCATCTGTCGAGCAAGAGGGTCTGGGTTCCGAAATGCCCCTATCTTCTCCTCGCCTCGCCATTTCTTTCATTTCTCAAAAATGATGGCCGGTAGTTGGCTGCAAATCAGAAAATGCTGTTGGAAAAATACTCGAAATTTTAAATTCAAAAAAGGACAAATTCATGACGCCAAAAAATCATGAAAAAACTAAAAGGGGATACGGTATTCTCGGGGGAGTGGCTGGGAGACGTCCTTGATGAAATTAGAAAATTAACGGATTTTGTATTGGCCTTGGCAGGCAGAATCCAGTATATTTTTACCGTACAGAAAGCGCCTAATATTTTTTGATGAATAGTACAAAAATCGAGGCTCGATAATAACTGTTGGAACTGAAAAATTCATTGGTTTTTGAAATTTTGAAATTTGAAATTAAATTAATTGAAACTTTTAATAATTTATTGTATCTTTCTTGAGGTAGCAATGATGACCCAGCCGAAAAATAAAGGCAAACTAGCAAAGGACCATGCGGAATGAAAGAATGCGTACGGTGACTTTTAAGGGAGCCCGGAAGTCAAAAAGTCTTGGACGCGTACGAGGCTGGGTACGCTTGGGTTAGGCTAGGCTTGGGCTTAGGCACAGGCTTAGGCCTAAACGTGGTCTTCAGCTTGAGCTGGGCACAGTACGACGCATCGGCTTAAGCTAGCTTGGCTTCTGTTCGGACACAAAATTAGGCTAGGCTTAGGCTCAAATTTAAGTTTTAAGCTAAGCCAAGTCTCGTATTTGACTTTGGTGTAGGACCAGGTTTGAACTTATCCTTCGGCTAGGCTTAGGATTGAATTAGGTTGGAGGGTTAGCTTTGGCGGATGTCTTAAGAAGGATTACGGTAAAAGGCGCACAATTCTGATGAATAAAACGAATATCATTCATCAGAATTTTCTAAAAATTGGTAATAAGGAAATAGACGGAATTCTTTGGACCTGGAAGATTTCCCCCAAGAAACTGGAAGAAGGAGGAGGAGGAGGAGGAGCCGATGGGGTGGGTGTTGGTGGACACCGGAGGGGTGGAAAAGGGGCGGGGCTCAGGGGAATGGGCTTTTGCCTTTAGAGGGGGGAGAGATAGGAAAAGAGAGAGAAAGAGAGAGAGAGAGAGAGAGAGAGAGAGAGAGAGAGAGCGAGGAAACCACCATAACCCCCAACCACTTCTCTTTTCGTTGAGCCAGCCAAGCTAAAACACGACCAAAAAGTGTCGGTGCACCGGAAGAGAGAGAAACAGAGAGAGAAACAGAGAGAGATAGAGAGAGAGAGAGAGAGAGAGAGAGAGGATTGAGCGAATGAGACAGTAAACTTGAACTTTCGAAGCTGACAGCACTTTTTAGGAGCACCGGAAAATGATTTCATAGCTCGCATGAGCGCCCTCCCCCCCCCCCCCGAAATTTGCTAGCTGAGAGGCCAACCCACGCAAAATTCGACCCTCGAATCCCCGGCTTACCTAAGCGGAAAATCTCGAATTTGTACTTCCGCGTGGGATTTTGGAAAAATGTCGAGTTTTCGGGTTTTAAAGGGGCGAGGTAGTCGGGAGATCTTGTGGCCTGATTTTTATGAAGTAGCCCCTATGAATTTTTTAGCTTTTTGCCTTCACAAACCCTTTAAAACGTTGAAATCTCTCAAAACTCAAGCAAATTTTTGTTCCACGGTCGAACTGCACCCTCTCGGCAATTTTCCAAGTTTTTCTAGACATTTTTAGCTTTTTTGCCCCTTGCAAAGCTCGAAAAAATGCTAAGAATATGGTAGGCGCCTAATCGTTCTTGTTTGCGTTTGCTCAGAAATCTGCCTTCCTAGTCCCTTTAAAAACGCTTTAAAACCTCAAAATTACGGTAATTTGCGGGAAAATCTAAATAATGATATTTCCTCACTATCCTCGGTTTATATAGCCTTCATTTCATGCATACTTCACTGATCTACCCAATAAAAGCACGAGCTAAGCCCCCTAAGCCCGATCAACCCCAGGAAGCTCACAACCCCTGTTTTTCTGCACCCCAAATAATTCTACCTCCGGCCAGGCCCTAAGCACTTTTTGTAGGCAAAAACTGATTAGGAATTAAGTTATGCCGCGTGGTCGCGCACACAAAAGCTACGTAGCACGCCAACTTACGGTGATTTCATGACTCAGCCATGCACTTTGAAGATTTCTGATGTCTTTAGGAACAATGGCCGTGCTGGGAGTACGGTAACGTACGCTACGCGAACTTTTTATGTACAGTCTAGGATGTAGTGTTGAGTGGCCTTGCATACTGTTGAGTCCCTGCGTGTTATTGTGTACGGCTACGTACAGTTGCGTATTGATGCGATGCGTACGGTTTCGTACTACTGTTAAGTACTTTTGCGCGGCGCTGCGAATCGTTGACTGCGTAGTTTTGTAGCGTTACGTACTGTTGCCGTCGCGTATTGGCGCTTACCGCTACGTTCTGGTGTCTTTTCCTGAGTACGGTACGCGGTAGGACGATACGCAAGGTAGTACGCAGACGAAGTAGACAATACGCGATACACAATGCATTACACAATGCGCAACGCGGTGCGCAACGTGCCTTCGGTGCCTCTTTCGAGCCCACGCCTCCAGAATTCGTCTTTTCGTTGTTTTGCTATGTGAATTTCAATGAACCGGAAGTGTCCCTCAAAACGATGAGTGTACCATATTTGCCATTGCACATGCCAGGAGAGGGCTCTTCCAGAATGGTGGATAATCCACCGTAGCCCCTCGAATCCCCGCAATCCCCCAACCGTATCGTAAATTCTCGCGTGAAAAGGGTCAATCCGGATTTACCGAGTGGTTTATCATCCCCTCCCCCACTTATGGAAAATAAAATCCCAGAAGGCAGAGGCCAAAAAAGGAGTCTTTTAAGGTGTCTAAAAATCACGAATTTTAGAGGGAAAGAGTGAGAGCGCGAGAGAGGGCGAGAGAGAGAGGGAGGGCGAGCGAGAGAGAGCGAGAGGTAGAGAGAGAACGCTTTAGAGCAACAGAAACCAATTTCCATTATTAGTCCTGAAAACCCGGACCGGGAAGTGATTTTCTCCGGCCAAAAAATTACGGATTATTCAGCGGCCGCTTTGTAGCCACTTTTGTACGGAAAAATAGGAGAGAGGTTCAAAATAACAATTCATCATTTCCGGGGTGCAGTTTGGAAAATACGAAAATCAACTTTTTGAGGTCAACATTTTTCGCAGGGTTTTTTGGGGTTTTATAAGTTTTCTTACCATTCTAAGCAAAATTTTTAGCGGTTCATGCATAGATTTTTCGATTTAACTTTTTAGTTTTAGAATCTTTGAGGCGATATAAAGTTCATCCGCAGGAAATAACCGATTTTTATAAGATCACCCCACCCCGGCTCGAAATTTGTCTACGTAAACTATGGCTTTTCTTGAAATTATGGATGACATTGGGAAGGCCACTCAGCCATTTAATATCATCCCTCCCTTCTTCCACTTCCTCACCCCCTCCATCCGACCCTAAAAACAACTTTTCGTGATGAATTTCGCTTCCAAATCGGGAATTTGCGTAGGGCGGGGAAAGTCGCCTCTCATCGTTCATTTTCCGAATGGAAAGTGATTTTGTGGAAAGCGGGGTGGAAAGGAGGGGGTCACTGTAGTCAGGAAAGTCGCGGAACTTTTTAGAAAAATTGTTTTTTAAAGGGGCGATACAGCAGCTATTTTTTGACGCGCAATGCGCGCGCCCTGGCTTGAGCAGGCAGAACGGGACGTAGCGTAACATAGGCCCCGGGGGCACGGTGCCCCCGAAATCGGCCGGGGCCCGAAAATTTCATAAGGGGGGACCCTTATGATTTCTATTTTCTCAAAAATTTTGCTGCCTGCGGCGCTATTTTATCACGTTTTTACTGCTATTTCTAGAGCTATGCAACCTTTTTTCAAAAATGTTTTTTGGCAATGTTTTGAGTTTTTGGAACAATTTTTTGGCCCCCCCCCGAAATTTTTTTCTGGCTACGCCCCTGGCAGGCAGAATGGGTCTAATCGATTACGCGATGGAAAGTTGGGCGCGTGTCATGCATTGCGTGTCGCGGAAAATCCACAGAAAATCCATGGCCAAAAAAAATAAAAAAAAGATTTTTTGGCTTATTTTTTTATGAAAAACCCAAGAATTCCGCGAATCCCGATATCCTGCTCTCTAAAATGCGACCCAAAATCCGTGACCCGAGGCCCGCGCCGAAAAAACGGCCTTTTCCTGTTTACAGCCCCAGGTGGGTGTTCTTCTTTCTGGGCCCTGAGGCGCGATAAATTCTACATTCCCTCTGGGGGGAAGGGACTAGTGGAATGCGTAAAAAAGCGGAACTGACTCGTCGACTCATTGATCTTCTCTTCAATCGAGATCTATAAAAATATACACTCCCAGGGGCTTCACTAAAATTGGGCGAAATTGGATTAGGGGATTTGAATGGATAACCTACCGTAATCCTTTCTTATCTCTCTCTCTCTCTCTCTCTCTCTCTCTATCACTCTGTTTTGTAGGTTTCATTTTGTTTTAGTCGCGCCGAGGGGGCAGAAAAAAGTGCCATTTATAGAATGAACCGGAGGGCTAATTTGAATCACAGTCATCTCTCTCCCTCTCTCTCTCTCTCTCTCTCTCTCTCTCTCTCTCTCTTCCAAACAGACACCACCTACTCCAAAATCTCTAATTTCACGAGGTGAGTATAGCGGATGCCCTCGGAATATCCGCTCTCGGATTAGACGAGTATTCCTTTGGAAATTGAGCCCGACCGGATGGGGTTGAAATTGTAGTACAAAATGCAACCAACAACACCGGGTAATATCCGGGGAATTGGGCGGGGATTTTTGAGATATTGCTGATAGGTGTAGGGTTGAGAGTTTGGTCTCGTTTTTGGGGTCCGGGACTCATGGCAAAATTATGACAGAGATCGGGGTCAGCCTCGTTTTAAAGGGGACGGCAAGGCAAGCTTGGAATAAAGGCACATAAAAATTCCAAAAAGCTGTAAAACTAATTTTTCAGAATTGTCGTACTATGACAAACTCCGAAAAACACTCCTTCGGCTGTAGTATTCGATCGGAATTTTAC